GGCGCGGGCCGCCGCCTGCCGCCCGGGCCTCGCGCGGGCCGGAGGACTCTTCCGCGGAGACGCGGCTCGGCGCGGGGGGGTGTGCGTGTCAGACGCCGTTGCCGAAGGTGGCCTTGTTCTTGGAGAGGGAGAGGAGCCTCTGTGACCCCCAGCTCTCCCCCTCAGACTCTTGTACATAGTGTCTCCTGTACTCGGCGGTGTGCCAGTTACGCGAGAGGTGTGGCTTCTCGGCTGTTCTGGAAGCTGCAGGACTCCACACTCCCGGTTTAAGAAATTTAACCTGACTGCTTCCACACTGTTCACAAGTTCTATGAAACTTTGTACAGCATGTTTTGTATTAAGGTTATACTTTGTTTCTGCTAGTTTGGGCTGGAACCCAGTTTATATTCTAATTAAGGGTTTTCCCCCCCCATCTCTGCCAGTCATTGCACAGTTCTTTTATAAATTTTATTTTGTAAATTATCTTAACTTCACAACGAGGTCTCGTGTTTCGTGCGTTTGCAGTTAAAGGTTTTTTTTTTAACGATGCAATTTCCAAGTCCAAGGATGACTGTTCTTTTCCTGTCAGAATTTAAAGGTGGAGCCCCTCTGTGGGCAGTGTTTTGTAATGAGCTGTTTTCTTTAATTACTGTTAACCTCCTTCCTCCAGTACAGAGCCTCAGTGCTTGCTAAGCAGACACTCTGTGAGACAGTGGATGGGAGAGGTCTGTAGTTCTGGAGTGGGGCTTGTCATTCTGCTCGAGATGGTGCAGTAGTTTATGTTTCTGTTAGTCTACCTCAGTTTTGATAAGGAAATTGCCATCATCTTGTTGCCCAATCTGGGCTGTTTTGTTTGTCAACCTGCATTTTGTAAACAATTTAAAATATATAGAATTATTTTCTTATTAAATCAGTTTCCAGACCATTTGTGGCTCATATTCAATAACTTCATATGTATTGTATTAAATTATTTTCTCTTAGTTTGTTTTTTCTAATATAAAGTTATTTAGTAGTGGCACTTTGTTATGGAAATTTCTAATAAAAGTGAGCAGGGATTGAAAACTGGTTTTGCACATTTTCTTTCTGATGAATAATTGACCAGTTTGAAATCTGTCTGTAGGTATGAACTCCCCTCCCCCAACACACACACACACACACACACTGCTGGGCTGTTGCTGCAGTCCTTAATTGACAAGAGCTCCCAGATGTGATGTGCAGCCATCATGTATCTGTGTGATTCCTTTAGCTTGTGCAGAAGCAAGTGGGATGAAGGAGCAGCAGTCCAGACCGTGATCAACACTAGGCTTCCAGAAGGAGCAGCACTCTGTCCCCAGTACAGCCTGAACCACAACTACCACCTTGACTTTCCTAAAGGCAGGTGATTTTCAAGAGCCCCAGACTGCTGTGGTGTAGAATGGATGAGCTCTTGCCGCGCTGACAGGGCGGGAGGCTGGTTCGGCGACGTTCTAATTTGGAGTTTTATGGAGTTTGTGCCAGGGGCCCCCGTGCTCTTCGTGGACAGATTGTTGGCCTATAGCAAGAATGAAATTGAGTTTGTAACGCAACAGGTGGCGCAGTGGTCAGTGTTGCTGGATTCAGTGCTGGACCTGGGGCACTATCTGTGTGGAGTTTGCGTGCTGTGCCAGTGTTTGCGTGGGTTTCACGCTCCAAAGACATACAGGTAGGTTAACTGGCATCTGGGACAGCTGGCTCTGGTTTGGGAATGTACATGTCTGTGTGATTTTGTGCCCTGCAATGGACTGGTGTCCCGACCAGGGCGTAGCCTGCCTTGTGCCTGTTGCTTGCTGTGTAGGCTTCATCTCCGCAACCCTGGATTGGAAGAAACTGTCAGAAGATGGACAGACGGCCGGTAACGTTACTGAAGGTAGGGGTCCGTCACCTTCACCCCAGTGATGGGCAGGTAACCAGGGGGCGGGAATCATGGCACTTTGAAAGCTGGTACACGACTGGTTCCAATCCAGGATGTGTGGGGTCATTCTGAAACGAGATATTGGAAGAACTGTTTGTTTTTAAAGTTATGCTCTATTACCTCCATTGTTCCACCTGCTCCCTACCGCCTTCTTTGGCTACAGGAATGATGTTAAACTGAGGTACTGATCTCTCAGTCATTCAAGATCATGTTTACAGGACTAGGGCTGTTAAACCCTGTGTCCTCGCTCTAGGCTTGTACAGCCTGGCCTCCCGGAGGTTGCCCCTTCAAGCAGCTGGTGCAGAACTTTCTCACTCCTCCCTCGGCTGGGCTGCGCAGGGGCTGCGCCTCGGGCTTGCTCTGGGATGTGAAGCGCTGGACAAGCCCAAGGAATTCTTCTAGTGCCCATTTCAGAGTGTTTCTGCAGCAGAGGGTTGTTTGGCGAGCATGCCTTCTGTTTCTAATGTGTGCGCCCTTTCTCTGAACTCCGTCTTGAGCGTCCTAACAGATCCTCAGGATAATTCCTCAGCGGGAGGAAATGTTAAACCCATTTTTTACTTTACGGTGGTCCAAGGTGCATTTCGAGCGTTGGCGGTAGCGGCCTCTCAAAGCCGGGGCGTGGATATTGCACAAGCTCCAGAGATAACCTGCTGATAAACGGGGCCCAGCGGAGGGGAGGTCAAGGAGAGTGGGCGGGGAGGCGGCTGGGGTTCGTACCCGTGTGCCAGCTTGTTTGGTGTCCATGTGAGCCCACGTCTGTCTCTCTTCAAGCACCTGCAGCCTCTCTCAGGTGGGTGCGTGTGTGCACTGCTTATCAGCTTTCTTCCACGTACGGGACTGCGGCGCCTGATCAAAGGAGCACAGGCTGTCAGGTCCTTGATTTCCCAGCCTGCATTGGCTCAGTGGCGTGAGACAGCCTGTGATAGGTCAAGATACCCTTTTAAAAAAAAACTTGAACAGTATTGTGTAGCTTGTCTGGAGTTTCCCACGTATTATAGTTAAGTACAGTATTTCAGCCTGCAATTGATACATCGTTTCTAAGAGCTGGCTGGCATGTTATTGCACGCAGCACAGCCAATTGCACAGAAGATATTTCTACCTTTTCAGGTTGAATATCAAGCTCAATGAGGATCTCTTTGTTTCCTTTCTATATTGTTCAATTGCCCATGCAAGGTGGGCATACACTAAATTCTTCTGTAGGAGTTGTTTTAAAGGCAACCATTTCAAAAGGTGTCAAGCGCTTCTGTGCTGTAGGCTGTTAAAAGACTGTTGCTTTGTTGTTAATTGCTCGTTACTCAAGACGTTAGGCATTCCTCTCGCTTGACATCTCAATGGGAACGTTAGCCGCCTGCAGGAATGGTCTTGAAAGGAATGCGGAGAGAAAACAGCGCATGCAAAACACAGCCAGGGTACTCTCTGTGCATCTCTGAACATTTGCATGGATTTGACTACAGACAATTCAACTACACCCTGAGGGTTCAGGACGGCATTACTCACTGTACTTGTGGGTCACAATCTGTGACCTCCTTGTCAGTAAGAGGCTCCTCAACATTAAGTGTTTGAGTCTGCCAAATATTTGACTTTCCAAGAGCCATGTTTGCAAGTGCAATACAGAGCTAAAAAGTGGCTTTCTAAAGCTCTGCTTCAGCTCTCCGGAGAAAGACAATAGTTTCATGTCAACAATTAAGGCCAGGTAACTGGGAATGCAGGTCACAGATGCTGGTGTCTGATTTAAACATGTCTGCATTCAAAAACAGAGAAAATAATCTGGGAAATCTGTGTAACTGGCATTACATCTGTTCTCTCACTCTCGAAACTTCAGTAGAGAGTTCAACTGCTGGTGTGGGCCTGCAGGAGCAGTTTCGCAAACAACAGTAGTGCAGACCTCCTTAAGGAAACGCATCAAGTACCCAAGGCTTTTAGTATCAACACTTCCACTGATTCAGTCGTGAAACGGAATGAAAGTTACCAGTAGCAGAGCAGTGGTTGGGAGTGAGCAGAGACTCCGAAAGCTGAGAGTGAGAGGATGGCAAAGACTGGCTCAGGGGCGAGACGCGCGGAGGAGGCCTGGGCTCTACAAGGGCCGTAGCGCCATGGGGTTAGATTAGAGAGCAGTGGATTACGATCGCCACTTAGGCGCGGGGGCAGGACTGGCACTGCGGGCACAGAGCCTTCCTGCCTGTCAGTGGAGGGATACTCCGGGCTCTCTGAGATGACCCTGTTGCCCTTTGGCTTGTAAGAAGTTATTCTGGATTGCTTTAGGGGGCATGGGCATGGGCATACCCTGTTAGCGCAAGAACACAGCTGAACTGGCTGGTGAGGTTGCACAAATAAAACCATGCACATGTACATGCATCCTGCCCATTGGTGTCCAGTCTACCGACGCTGAAGGTCCTCTGTCTGGAAATGGCAAGAAACGGCTCTCTCCTCTCCCCTCGCTCTGCACTTTGCATTATGTATTAGTCCATGCTGATGTGAGCACAAAAAAGCTCTGCCCTAGGGAAGGAGATCAGTGCTACTTAAGGCATTCATCTGTGAACTATTACCTCCCACAAGTTTTTCCGTGTTGGGAGTTCAGCCGTGGTAGTTTCTGTAATCTCACAGAGCTTTCAGATGGCAGCCACATGGCTGACTACCACATGGTTCTGACAGTTTATTCCTAAAACAAACACCGCAGGCAAGGCTACAGAGGAGAGGAGGGCCTTCAGCCCGTCTGACCCCTTGGGTTTGTAGCAGCCAGCTGAATCGAGGAGCTTATCCAGCTGTTTCTAGAAGCTGGGGTATCAGCCAGCAATAATCACCCTCACACCTCAACGCCAGCATTGATCGCAATTCTGTGTGTCCTGCTGCTGGTGTCTGCACTGCACAGGAAGAGTTAATTTCAAGGGCAGCTCTAGTTCATTTCCGCCTGTGAGGCCGGCCCTCCAGGGACCCCCAGGCCATGACCTCTGGTGGACAGAGCACCATGTGTGTGCAAAGATGTGGAGTCAGCATCCTGGCCTCTGTGTCCTGACAGCCGATTTCAATACCAGGCAGGCGCATGGCCTGTAAGAGGGCCTAACACAGCAGATTGCTTCACTGGCTATACAAGGGTATTGGTACCATGTATCTAAAATAAGGTCATTCACTAATGTCTTGAATGGTTATTGACCACTAAGCAATAGTTACAAATATCCTAGTAATTTTTTAAAAAATTTAAGACATAGGGTGTCAGTACTAACATTTGCAGCTTTCTCTCGAGCAAAGCTGTAACAGATCTGTTTTTTGAAGTGCGGTGCAGCCTTCAACAGCCTGATCGCTCCCTGCCACCGCTAGCTCCAGTCCCCGGCAAGCTGTCTCTCTCTGCTTCCAGTGAACTGCAGCGCACAGCTCTTTCTCAGTATTCACACTGCAGAGCGGCTCCTTCCTACAGACGCAGGCCTGAGCTACAGAAATCACTAAGAGCAGCCCTGAAACTCGTCTGAGTAATGGAAAGAACCCCTTTGACAACACTGAGAACAGAATTTGCTCTGATTAGGCTCTTTATATAGCTTCTGCAACAGCTAGGGAATTTCCCAAAAAACAGGCCATGCATTCTGCCAAGAACCTCTGACTGAATGTTACATAACAGCCTGTTTTCAAATACTGGACTAAAGGTTTTACACTTATTGTGAGGGAAGATTTGGGAGGGATGAGCGAAAGGGATTGAACCAACAGCTTACATGTTCTGGAACATTATTTCCAAACCCTGCGACCCTGAATCGGATGAGGAAGATGAAGCAGTTGGAAAAGAGATGGGTGGGGAAAACCATGAAAAATTTATTGGCAGAACAAATACTGGACTAGAAATGTAAATCTGCTGTATACACATTATGAATAGTTCTATAAATAAACATACTTTTTCTGATAAAATATCATTACAATTATCTATATTACGTTATTGTTAAATCTATGAATAATATCAGACAATAAGTTTAGAAATGAGAAGAGGTCGTGTTACTTCATCATGCGCTCTTGGTTTTGCTGGTAGTTAATTGATCCAAGGATGCTGGACAGTCGTTTCCCGAAGGGTCCTAGGAGATCTGCCTTGGACAAACACAAGGATTCATTCTAGACACCTGCACTCCTGCAGAGAGCTGCCTCCTGTTTTCATTTCCAAATACACTTTCTCTGCATTTCTCCCTGAGCTCCTGGATCCGTGTCTCATTGTTGAATCTCAATGCCCCCTGCACTGGATGATTCATGGTCTCTGGGATCTTTTGTCAGGAAACAGGTCTGTGAGGGTTCGGGCAGCACAAGCCTTTACTTTGCATGTTTAGCAGGTTCTGTTGAGCTCTGATTTGAAATCCGAACTAACAGAAGTGGAAACTACAGTGAAGTGTATTTAAAACTCAGAATAAGAGGTATTTCTTTCAACAAAGGGATCTGGGAGTCTGGAACAAGTTGCCTGGCCATATTGTTGAAGCTGCTATCTTTAAAAAAACAGCTGGATAGGATTCTAGTTACTGCAAAACCAAATATGTTAAATGGGGTGAATGACCTCCCTGCTTAACCTGTCTCATGTTCTAAACGTGTCAGAGTTGGGTTTGCCCGGCTTTACAGTTTTTACCGTGTTTGCAGTGCTGGGGGAGTGCAGCACCGCACACTGTGGGTGTCCAAAGGGAAGTTTTGTGTCTCATCTGGGGCAATTACCTCAATTAGAGTGAAGCCCCTCTCCTCTGTTATGGAAACATTTAGGACTGACTCTAACTTCCAAACCCTTCACTTTTCCAGTTTCTGTAATGGCTTTTACCGTCAACATAAGCTGAATGATAATTAGGAAGCTCGTTAGAGTCAATTGCAAGCTCGTTAAACGTCTGTAATTAGAGAGCTGTAGTAGCTGTAAACCATAATTGGCAACTGGAATGCCTCATTTATAAAGGAACAAAGAATGACAGCCAAGGGGACAGAGAACCTGTGTGCAGTGTGTGTGCTTCCACATCCCAGGAGGACATCTCCCTTCCAGAGGACAGACGGGTAGCCTGTGAAGGAAGATTAGGGGCTTCGCTAACTCACAGATTGAAAAGGAATCTTTCACCCGGTGGGAATACGTGCTCCTCGTGCAGGCCAGCCGGCTCCAGCTGAGATCCGGGGAACCGTGCCGTCCAGCAGGTTCTGGGAGTCCGGTTCAGGGGCCGGACACAGGTGGGGTCTGCTCTCTCTTCTGGAGGCTCTGTCAGAGGAGGGGTTCCTGTCCTGAGGAGACTCTGTGGTTTGTGTGCTGAGCGTGGAAGAGTGCCGCCGCAGGGAAGAGAAGGGAAGAGTCAACAGACGGTCCCACTGATGAGGGAGGCTAAAGTGCAGTTCCCCTGAACGCATGGCTCTTGGATGGCAGGCCTTACCGTACTGCATGAAGACTTGGCTTTGTGTTCATGCAACATGTGAGTGTTCTGCACTAAACTAAACTGAGATCAGGAGTGGCGAAAGCACAGCTGGAAAGAGAGCAGGCATCACAGAGAAGCCTGAAATGGAGAGGGAGATGCCTGTGTTCTCTCCCGTAGGAATCTGTGCTTTTCAGGATGTCACTGCCGACTCCTTTAACTCAGGGGAGGTCAGACTTGGCATGCGGTACCATCACAGGTGCTTTGGACCTTCCAATAACTGAATTGATCCTTAATTGCTTAATCAGCTGGGGGGCTGGAGATCAATGTGATAAATAAGGATTACTTAAATGCCAATGTTCACCACCCCTGTCCTACTGATATTAATTATAATAATAATGATGAGAGACATCTGATCTGGCTGCAATAAATCTTTTTATAGCTCTAAAATACATGCAGGCAATACATGTTACTTTATGCAATCAATTCCAAATCTCTAGACATTAGTTTCTTTTGGCCATAAGAAGTGTAAAAACACTCCTGGCTGGCCTCCCAAGTTCTTTTCCATTTGCATATACTATTTAAATTTCATTTCAGCAGTTCATTGGTTGAGGGACGTGTTTACCCCCCATTGTGTCCATTTGCCTCTGGCTGTGGGGTTATATAAAAGACAAAGGCCGGTATCTCTGTGCTGGAAGTGTCCCCAGACTAGAGCAGAGATCTCCACAGACAGGGAGCAGTGGGTGGGCAGGGTGTTGTCGTGCAGAGAGACAGAGATCCCATCTGGGCACTGGGAGAGCTGCCCCCCCACACCTGTCCCAGACGGCTCGCTGTCCCTGGTGACAGTGAGGGATCCTCCTGCAATGCACACTGCCAGGCAGAGCACAGGCCAACACAAGGATCGGCCCGGGAATGCAGGGCTTTTCAACAGGCTTGTAGCGTCTGATGCACATTTCATCTGGGCTATGGAGAGTGGACGAGGAGCAGGGATCCACTCTTCCAGGAGCCCCCCTCTTCCTCGGCTGTTGCGGCTGTCGGCCGAGGAATTCCCTTTCTTCTGCAAAGAAATTCAACTGGACGCGAGGTCCGAAACAGCAGCCGGTCCCTCCTGCGCATGTGCTGCTGGGGCGTCGGACACGGCTGTCCCGCTGGCGGGGACACTCAGAGCTGGGCTCCCCAGGCAGCGAGGAGAGGGAGACCCAGCTCATGAGAGCTCTGCTGCCCTGCCCGGAATCACGACCGAGCCATGACACCTGGCTGTGAGTGAAACCAACACATTTTACTATCTCACATATCATTATTATTATCTTGGTGCATTTCTTTTTCTGTGTCTCTATACCATCACAAAAACGAAGCAACAGACAAGCTACTATTACAGTAAAATTGCAATAAAGATTAGGGCAATAATGCCAGTAGAGAAGGAACAATATATAGCTATATACAATATATATTCTTAAAAAGAGAACAGCATTTTTAGAATGTAGGACATGTGAATCAGACCAAAACACGGTTATAATAAACACATAAATGCAGAAGGAGGTGTCTTAACAAATTCAAGCACAGTTCCAGCAGTGCAGGCAGAAGGCAGTAATGTGGACAGGCAGTGTGGACGCACTCCCCGTCTCCAGAGAACCAGACAGGTGAGACGAGAGCAGGTGCCGGCAGGCGATCAGGGACCGAGCAGTCCTGGAGGCAGACGGTGCACAGGACAGCAGTGAGAGCAGTGCACTCACTCACTCAAATGTGTACGAGGAGATTAAGAAGATGAGGTAGCGGGGAAAGAACAGCAACTTTAAAATCCTTAGGCCTTTCACCAGCACTGCGAACCTCTCACAGGCTGCAGCTGAGGAGACTACCTCCACGCATAGACTAACAAACACCAACAAGGAGGAGCTGTTCCTTTCAAGAAAGAGCAAGCATGGATATATATTTACCTCATTAAAAACCGTCTCCTTCTGCTGTCCTGTGGTACAGGGGAAGAGGGACAGAGGTGCAGAGAGGAGAAGAGCTGGGAAAGAGCTTCAGGAGCTGGATCTCCAGATTCCCGAGCCATGGTCAGGCCTCCCGCAGTCCCGGGCTCTTGGGTCTTGCCGTGGGGGTCCTTGGGGGTCATTTTCCCCCGGGCACAGCCATCCCCACCGGAACAGTGGTGACCAGCGCAGGCAGGAGCCGCCTGGCTTTCAGGCACTGCCAGCTGGAATTCCAACAACACAGGCTGGACTGTCCACCTCCCTTTCCAGAAAGGAAAGTGGGGGAAACGTCTTAGTTTGCATCATTTTGAAGACCAATGTGAAGTGCCCTTGCAAGGGAACCCTCGCCATATACGACACTAAAGTGGATTACCCACCTGGAAACTCAGAAAGAGATGCTAAAAAACACCAGCCTGAGTTCCCTCTGTCTCTTTGGCCACTCTGTGTGTGCGGCGGCCACGACTGAGTGTGAATGAGCTCTTTACAGCCTCCTCGCCTCGTTAAATCATGAAAGAAGGTTTGGCGCATTTCAAACAGCTGCCCAGGCCCCGAGAAAACACTGCTCTGTAACTTTTCAAAGCGTTTTACCCCCAGTGGAAAAATGAACCCCCCCCCTTTCTTTTAAGAGGAAATTACAGTAAACACACACACCCCTGTGAGTTCTGCAGGGTCTTGTAGAAAATAGTTCAATCGGAAAAAGTCAGAGTGGGGTAACAATGCATTTCGAACGCGTGTGTGTGTTTGCAGTTGGCTGGTTCTCTTACGGTACTGTTCACATAAACATCTGGCCCGTATTTTTATGTGAATACATGGGTATTCGTGACTCCTCTTTCCAGCTTCCCCCAGGATTTTAGCCACTGAGGAGCTGGGATTCCCTGTGAAAGCTTAGAGATTTAGAGAAATGCCTTCTCTCCTGCAGGCCGTTTCTGCGTCACAGAATGAGCCTTTTAAAGAATTTATTTTGGGTATCTGACCCCTTCATTCTTGACCTTTGTGCTGTGCAATGCGGTGGCAGGGTATTTCTGCTTCTCCTTCCCCCGAGCCCCAGGCTGTTTGGGGGTGTTTTCTGGAAGAAGGGGGCTCAGAACAGTGCTAGTGAAGTCTGGGAGACAATGACTCAGCTTGGTGCCTGCAGAACACATCAGTCGCACAGCTGGATCCTAATCAGAGCTCATTTAATAGCAAGATGCGCTGAGACAGTCACACAATGGGCTGAAATAAATTGCGCAGAGCCAAACAGCACAGTAGCTGAGATGGTGGGGGGCAGGTCGTGATCTTTTGATTTTCAGGCTGTTAACACAAACCGATGAGCCACGGAAGAGGCTGTTTAATATTGCATTATCATTTAAAAGCCGATGAATGGATATCCAATGTGGTTCTGAAGAAAGAGAGGTTCTCCAGTTCCAGGACACTAGTAGATTAGATCTGCTTTAAAGTCCTGAAAAACGTGCTTAGTGCTCCCCTTCATCACACACAAGGAACAAAACATTCCCTGTGGCTCTCGAGCACCACAGGGGGCATCCTATGAAGATTTATGGGTCAACATTTGTTGTCTAAGATCAATTTACTTTTAATTTTTCTTTTGTGACAGCCAGGGGAAAAAAGGCAAGAATAAAGAATAACGAAAATGGCAAGACTCTGGGCTTTCTAGGGAGAAGGCTGTGGGTTCGAATCCAGGGACAGAGCTGCCTGGGGGAGCTGTGCTGTTCTGGCTCCCAGCAGTGATGTGGAAAAGCGACCCCCAGGTAAGAAAGGAAGCTGTTTTGAATTAAAGGGTCTGCCTAATAAATTAAGAATAGATGGAAATTCTGTTTCTTGCAATGTCTGAGCCTGCGCAGTGGTTCTGCCCAGAGAGATGGTGTGGGGATCTTAATCCGAGCTTCTCTCAGCTGCCAGCTCTTCTGCACTGAGAGAGTCCCTGCGAGAGGCTGTGGGGAGAAGTGCCTGCTGCCTGACTAATTGCTGAAGATTCTTACTAATTGTTGTTAGATGCAGCTCTGAAGGAATGCAAACGGCGGTGCCGTCAGCTCCGGGTACAGAGCGCAGAGGGGAGGAGATCTGGGCAGCGAGTTCTTCCACACAGATCATTCCCAGGATTCCACTCACACAAACGCATCACAGTGTTTTCTTTTAAAAACACCCAATAAAGAGCTACTTAGGGCCTTTTTGAACTGGCTTTGTTTTGAATGCTGGTTGACTGATCTGACCTGTGGGTCTGAGAAAAATGCCTTCTCTGCAAACCCCCCGCCTTTGATGAGAAGCAAGGTCAGGTCCTGAGCACGACAGGTCAGAGACCAATTATCCAGGACAGATCAGCCGGGAGGGGTGCGGGCTGACCCACTGTGAACCCAGATCCTCCAGAGGTCAGAGGTCAGCTGTATCCCCTTTCTCAACACAAAAAAACTTCTTTCTTGGGTGAACATTAAACCCCTTCCTGGTCAGGAGCTCAGCACATAAAAGACCCTTCTGATCTGGGCTGGCTCGCTGGAGCTGGCAGGGCGGGAAGTTGCTTGGCACTTCTTGGTCTTCTTTACATAACGGCCGAAAAGTTCTCACCTGCACAATAACACAATAAGACCTGGGCCGGTCGTGTCTGGACACAGCTTACGTTCCTCCTCCATTCACTGGAAAATAGAAAGCTCTTAAAACATGAAGTACACACGCGTGAGAGGTGCAGCAGATGGGCAGGTCGCTTTCCCGGGATCTTGCGAACTGGTTCGCTGTCTCGCGCAGGCAGTGGCTCTGCTGGCCCACAGGGTGAGTGATGGCATGTCTTTTCAATTTGGGAGATATGATTATTTATTCTCATTATGGATTAACCCACTCTGCTTTTTTCTGTATTTTTGTAAGCCCTTTTTTGAAACATCTGTTGTCTGATATTGTTCACTTAACACCAAATCATTGATTTAGAAATTCGTAGTCCAGCAGGAAGAGCACCGCTGGTCCACCAACAGCACTGACAGCAGCAACACGGTCTCCCCGAACAAAGTCTCCTGGCCCGGTACTGACCCGACCTGCCCTCACTTAGCTCCTGTGATGACATGCCATGAAGGAAGTACAGCGGCAGTCAAGTTTATGCGGCTGGAAATTTCAAACATCTCCTACAGTAAATGTTTACTCATTAAACTTTGCGTAGGTTCTGAGACCTGACCAGATCAGACTAGTTGTCTGCACTCCTGCCGATAGGTATGCTACTAGCATTGTTCATAACTCACTGGCCTATTATTAAGTCCTAGAAAAGAGACACTTTAAGATTCTAGCAGCAGGTTAACAGCACACAGACACACACTCCTGTTGGTGGAGGAGGCCTGTCCGGGCCCCTCTCAGTTCAGAGCACATTTAATACACCTTCAGAGGGCCCTCTGCTTGGGAGCATTCCTGGGAAGTCAAGGGGTCTTCAGAGAATCCGAGAACTTCCTTTTTCAGAGGAGCACATCCCTGGAAACATGAGGCCCATTTGCGTTACGAAATGAAGAGGGATTTATCTGGGACTCTCACTCCACCTGTTACCAATACCAACTAAAGACACCGAATGGAGTCCTTGCTTTCACACAGTTATCAGAAATGCAGCCTAAATCTCCTTTCATAAATAGTGAAGAAACACTACTGTTCATAACATTCCATTTAAATCTGTTTTGAAAACAATTCTCATGCATGTCTAGCCCAATGACAGTAGACCCATCTATTGCTCTTACTGAACACCACCCTTTCTGTCCTTCTTCTGCTCATTCAGATCATAAATCATCTCAAGATCGCCTGAGATGATGGCCTGCTGGAGATGAGCCCAACTGTACAGAGCGCAAGCACTCTGCTAAGGTGGCTTACTAGCAGGTCTGTAAACAAAAATAGCTGGTTAAAAATACCCCAGAACACAGTGTATTTCCTTTCCAGGCAATTCAAGGGGTTTTCACCCAACTTGCATAAACACTCTCACACTCGTTTCCCCCACTAGAAATATGTGCAGATCAGCTTCTTCTTAACCTCTTCGGATACTGTACGGTGTTCTTACAATCATGCTTTCTGAAGACTTGTTACAACAACAAAAATAAAGATAGGAAACAATAAACACACACTGAACATGAAACGTGTATGTTTTAGGCTGTCTAGCCATTGTATTCTAATGCTGCCTTGAAAAAGAAAACAAAAACATGAATTAATATTTGCATTTAAATGAAATGAGAATGGAGGGGTTAATGTGGTTGAACATGAAAGAGGAACTAAGAATTGTTAAAAAAACAGCCTGTGCTTGTGGGATCTGTGGGGCGATCACCTGTGTGAGGCGCTTCGACGGTGCGAGCCTGCGTGCTGTCAGTTTACCTGCAGGAACTGAGGCAAGCTCCGCCGGGAGTGATTTCCCTGCTGCCCCTCTCCACTTCTCTCACGGGCCTGTGGGGAATTCCTCTGGCCACTCGGGGCCGACCCCTGAACCCTCCTGTCGCCTGTCTCTCTCCGGAGACACCCTGGGCTGCTGGCCGCTCAGGCGTCTTAAATTCCCCAATTCTCCACAGTTTTACCCCCGGCTCTGTCACCAACACTCCTGAAATCTGGCTTCAGAGGAGTGCGAGGGCTGCCGATTCTCCAGCAGGATGGAATTTGTCCATTTATAAGCAATTAGCCACATTAAAATTCTCCAGCCTAGATACTTTATTGATCCCGTGAGGGAAATGACGCATCATGTAACTTTCTGAAAGCCTCTTACGAAATGAATCCTATTGGAAACAGGAGAGTAAGTTATACAGGATATACAGTATCTGTAAATACAGGATTAATTCATAATTAAAATGATGACAAAAATATTAATAAGCATTGCAAAGACGTCGGACACATCTTAAGCTCTGTCATGATGCGTGATGAAAGGACCAAAAGGACTGACTTGTTCTTACAGCTAGTTTTGAGGTGAAAATGTTTGTTTCTGGGCTGCAATTCCTCTACCTGTCCTACGTACCGTCCCTAAAGCCCCTCTGCCCAGAGACAAGCGCTTCCCTGCAGCTCTGCTGAGCGGGTCCTGTACATCCAGGGTCGATAACGTGCATCTCTTCCTTACTCTGCTGCCTGGGGTCTGTGCCTGAGCTGCCCCCGCACTGAGACACCTGAGTCCGCTGTCCCAGGTGGGCCGTGAGAGGCAGGGGTAGGTCTGGGGACCACACGCCCTCCACCGAGCGGAGGGGGCTCAGGAGGAGCTGGGGGGAAGGACATGACCAGGGTGGGGCAGCAGGGAGCCCTGTTTGTGTGAGCAAGGTGAAGACAGCCCCTGCCATTCGATCATTCTACACTCCCATCAGCAGGACTTCTGTCGTCTGACTACAGCGGCTTTGTGTCCACAGGGCCCGGTCGAGCTCCAGAACGGAAAACCCGATTTTATTTCTCCAACAGGGAAAGAATCCTTGGAACACCGCGTTCATCTCTTTTCCAAGTAAGTCCTTGACAGGGAAATATAAGTCAAACAAATCCCCCCAAAACACAGAGCTTGAAAGACAGCAGCCTCCAGGGCGATCTCAAGGGAGTGAATTAGAATATAAGGGAGGCTTGTAATCCAGGCTGCCTGCAGGTGTTGGATCGCAAGGGGGCTGGCAGTGGCCAGTTTCTCAGCCTGGCTGAGGGCAGGGGCAGGAGCGCTGAGCTCCGGACAGGGGCTGGATTCAAATAACCCAAATGTCAAAAACAAAGGTCCACAGGTGGATAAGGAAATCAAGATCCTTTTGTCCTTTACGCTGAAAAAAAAAACTGCTGATGAGCACGATGTATTAAAATTACACTAGTTGCTTTGCAGAATTTCCGCAGTAACTTTGGACCACGCATCTAAAGAAATGGAGAGGAAGAGAGAGCGATTGAGTCGGTGATTAGATTGTGGTAGATTATTCCTGTTTTAAAAGAGATTTTTTTGAAGGGCAGGGGCTGTCCCATCAAAGACAGTCATCTCTTACTACCCTACAGTTTACTTAACTAACCCTAGAGCTCCCCGAGCCGAGAAATAACAGAAGTTATTTTGACCTCTCTTTAACACTCAAGAGGCTGGAATTTACCCGCAGATTCGGCGAAACTCACAAAAGAGAAGAAGCCGAGAGTCTCAGGCTGTGAAGCAGGGTGCCGAGGTGACACGGACGGGGGTCAGTGCAGCGTAGCAGCTATTAGAATTAGACTCTCCGCATCTTCGCAGATGGAGCACCGCACTCCCCACCCTGCAGGGGGCGGAGGTGAGGCACTACAGTCCGTCCGCGTTTTCTCGCGCTTCCTGGTCAGCCTGCCCATGCGCCCAGGCCAGCCCAATGGCGTCATGTTGGCACCGGTGCCAGAGGTGTCGAGCAGGACAGCAACCGTCCGGAACCAGAACCCCCCCGGACCATCGCAATGCGCCGCTGTCCTGGGGCCGTTAGCCAGCGCCCGGGTGTTAAACATGTCTTTACTGCTTAACAACGCAGTCTGGACCACAAGCAACACAGGGAGCCAAAATTACAACACCTAAAATTAGAAAGGAAAACCTTTTTCAGTTTATCATAAACTCCGAGATAAGGCTTACTATGCGCATGAAAGCAGTTCTCTTTCTGTAGTTGTGTTCTTGTGAAAAACAGTGTGAACACAACAGGATATCCTTCACGTAGTCTATACAGGGGCCTCTAGCACTTAGAGGGACCCTGTGAGACCTCTGGTACAAATAGTGTCAACCGTCAGTTACATTTTACCAGTAAAACTTACAACTGGTTTCTGTAAATGTATTAATATAAAACTTTCATGCAGTCCTTCTTAAACACTGATACAGAAACTGTGGCATAGACAACACCCCACCAGCCCCTCAACCCTTTCAACCCAGTCATTGCCAGAGTATTTTTTTAAATATCACTTCTTCCTAAACTCAGTGTCGCAGGGTCTGCGTGCTTTAATTCTCTTTGCATTCACAGAAACTTGCTTAATTTCTCCATGCACAACCCTACCTGATGTTACAAATTACTAGACAGAGTATCTTTTAAGTTTTTCAACTGAGAAAGAAAGTGTGAGAGAGAGAGAAGCAATTTTTAAAAGAACAAAGAGTCGCTGAACATTATAACCTAACCTCAATCTTTTTATAAACCTATTTCTAGTTTCCTGTGTTCAGCTCATAGAAATGGCTGAGTGACTTTAATTTTAGAAGGCTGATGTGCTGCACAAACCACAGCTCAGAGAGTGAACGCTACTACCTGCAACCTGGAAAAGGTGTTACGCGTTGCGTGGGAGTCTCTGTATTTGATCAGGGCAGCTGTGATGATTCACTGTGCTCAGAGTGAGTGAAGCACAGAAAAAGCAGCAGAGAACAAATGTGGTTTCCACTTTGCGCCCACCCATTCCTGTCACGGTCTCCTATTTCTCGGTGCTGGAAAGGAGGGCAGGTGTGTGGCAGAAATCCCCAAACTGAATGCACCATCCTCAGAGCCTGTGTCACACCTGGAAACATACCAGCTCACTGCTGTATTCTGCTTGGGTGGCAGAGTGGGTTACTGGTGTGGTCTTCGGGCGCAAGTCCCCAGTGCCAACATTGCATTCGTGCCCTTGAGCAGGGTGTCCACTCTTTCCACCCCTCTCCCCCGGCCGTGCAAGCCCACCGGCCACAGCACTGCTGCCTGTGTTCGTCCGGGAGCAGGCCTGCATCCCGGAAAGAGCCCTGCATGTTCTGATCCGGAACGGGGAGATCTCACTCAGCAGTGGGAAGAGAGTGGATTCTTCATGTGCCGATGTTACTCAACAGAAGTGTGGACGTCACACATCGACCATTTTCCACATCGCCTTTTACAGCCATGCTCACACAACACAATTCAGGGGAGAACAAGCGAGACACTCTGCCAAGCCACAGCTGTCCGCTGTTTTGAGGATTTCAACGAAAGCTGGGGAGGGATGATGACAGCCTCTACTGCCTGTAATTTGCAATCATTCCTGACATCTTTTCCTCAAAAATGATCAATTCTGTACGTAATCCCCTTCTCCACCTTGCATATGTCTCTTATTCCTCCTCCTCCCCATCTCCTCCTGTGCAGCTGCCCCTGGGTCACTCCTCTCTCCGCAGGGGGGGTCCCGGCCCCCTCGCCCTGCTGCCAAGAGGCTGGCCCTCATCCAGGCAGCTTAAGCCAAATTCACTGTGACTAAGCCGCTCAATAAACCTCTCAACGTGCTCGATTCCAGGGTGGCAGTATTCCTCCGAGAGCCGGGTGGGACTCCCCTGTGCAGGCAGGTCCTGCAGGCTCGGGGGGCCGTTCCAGGTGGGCGTGTGTCACACTCTCTCCTGAGCAGGTACCCAAGTCTCAGCCCACTCCGACCCACATAGCGCTCTGCACAGGACTATTACTGCTCGTTTATATGGAGACCTGTTGAGTCAGGATGCTTACAGAGAGAATTCTTTTATACCTGGACTTTACTGTCAAAATGCAATTCCTTTTCTGTTGCATCAAATGTGCTATTATTACAATTCATATTTAATAGTGTCATCATAGTGCAGTTTCAGCTGAAAAACTTTATGTTGCTTGAGTAATAACTGTTTAAAGTGCTAAAAACCAGAGAGAACAAATTGCATTAAAACTACAGTGTGTTAAGACCTTAGCACGTACTTAAACTTACCACAGAAAACACACATAGACCACTCTGCTTCGCTTTTGGTACACCACAGCTGGATAAATCGATAACTGTGAAATGCAGGGGATTTTTTAAGAACTGAATTTTCTCTTGCTTTCTGTTTTTGGATGATTGGACGGGCAGCGGTGTTTCTTCAGCGGTGAGGAATGAATCAGTTTGAATACATCTTCGCCTGCCTCTCACCGCGCACACTCAGACTGGGAGCCCCTGGCCCAGAAAGACTCATCACGGTTCTCTGTCTGACTGCCAGCCTGCTCCAGCTGCCACCAGCTCAGCCACACCCCCACCTCTTCCTGCGCCAGCCTGACTCCTGCCCTGCACCCCAAACCCTGCCCCTGCCCCAGCCCGGTGTGACCTGGCCAGAGTGTGCCCCACCTGAGCTCGGTCAGCCCCAGCACAGCTCTCTCCTCTTCCGCGCCC